TTTTTTGTTCTACAAATAAAAGCACACAACTCATATTTTAATATCAGTAGTCTTACCTTTCTAATGCAATGGATGTGCCCTCTCTCACCCGCCGCCCCCGAGCTGGGGCTGGGAAGGAGGGGGGTCTCTCCCTCTCCCCCACCACAGCAGCCCCCAAGGTGGGCATGGGATGGAGGGCCCTCTTCCCCCGGCAGCCATATCCCTGGAGCTGGGGAAAGTAGTCTCTTTTTCTGGCCACCGCAGCCCTGCTGGTCCCAAATTCCCCCCACCCCCTCTTCTCACCCCACTGCTCCCTCCCACCTACCCCCTATTCCCCCCAAGGCTACCACCTCACCTTACATGTGTGTCTTCTCCAGGGTCCAGGCACCTAATTAGTGGAGCCACGCCTGCTTGGCTCCACTAATTAGGTGGGTGGCCCTTCATTCTCTCATATGCGGCCGCCCAGGTGCGCACCTTAGAGGGAAGTATCTGCGGACCACCTGAATGGAGCTCGCAGACCCCTGGTGGTCCATGGACCACAGTTTGAGAACCACTGCCCTAGACTGACAGATTAATTACAATAAGATCTGACACTCAGCCCAAAGGGTTTCCAGCAAACTCCCTGCGTGACTTGCAGCAAGCACCTCCTGACATCGCAGTAATTCAAATGGGAGACAGTGAAGCCGAGAAAGGGACATGGGGATGTATGAAACCAATACAGTGCAGTGGGACTATTCTCATGCCTGTTCTGCACCTCTCTACTCCAATGCATCCCAGTGCTGGTGGAGGGCCATAGGAAAGTCAGAGGATGACCAGATAAGGTGCGCTCTAACTGGTGCTTCTGGTCTATGGTGCCAGCTAATATTCAACCTCTTGACTAAGGCCTCCATGCAGACTATGTTCATTTTTCCTTCTTGCATTTGGCCTGTTATCCCATGCATTGTATTTGTCTGGATTAGACTGTAAACTCTTCAGGACTGGGATCTTGCCTTCTATAGCTCTGTATACATCATTAATGATGGTAGCAGTAAGAATGAACCAAAATGTCAACAGATAAAAACTCACAGCATACAGAAATTTAGAGAAAGCTGAACAGAATTTGGAGATACGGTTCAGTTTGGATACTTAGTCAAGCCTCTGAAGTTTTCTTCTCCTCTTTCCTACAACAACCCCACCTGTCATCGCATCCTACACTATGTAAAACACCTTTTTCAGCTTTGCATTTATTTGCTGAAAGGTACATGCCAAAATATTTTTTTAGAAAATAAATTCAGAAATCCAGATGCCAATTTCATTACCGTTTAGACAATGTATATATTCAGTTGTATGTACTCTCTTCTGAAATAAACATGGTTAATTTTTCCTAAAATTACTTAATTAAAAAATAGATTTGCCTCGGGATCACGGAGTTCTATTAATATTTACAAGCATGAACCCAGCCAGGAGGTAGGGAAGCTATCCTTTCCCTTTCAACTCATTGCAAATACAGTTCCAAATATTTAAAAAGCAAAATAAGGACTCCAGAAAGTACTGGTTGGACAAACCAGATTTGGGGGTTCAAATTCAAATTGAAATTGCAAATATCAGCTAACAGCAGCCCCTTCTCTAAAATGGGCATCAACTGCCAATAACGTTTAAACTGAAAGAGGCCCAAGGGGAAAATATTCCTTCATTTAAACTGCCAACAGCTCTGAAGCCAGAAGTTCAGTTGGAAGGAGGAATTAGGAGGACTCCCATTAGCGTCTTAAATAGTTTCTTAGTCTTAAAGAATGTAATATGTCTAATTCACTGCCGATAGGTTTATGTGCACAGTCTGAGAGCTAAGCTCAGATCCAACACCAAATACATACATTTGCAGGTTTGAACTATAGATTCAGACCCTCTGGGATCTATATGGTAACGAGAGTTAGAGAACTTTATTAGGGATTTTGTCTGGTGACTGCAACCATGCTGTGCCAACACAAACATGGCAAATGCAGGCAATGGGTAAAGAAAAGCTGGGGTTGTTAGTACTATTTAGACCAGCTGGGGAGTGCTCACCTCACTCTTCTTTTTGACTGGCCTTTGGAAGGAACACAAAAACTATAAAACCACCCTACCCTTTGCTTACCCCTCTCCCCCTGCCCTTCTCCAACTTAACTCACTCTGATTGCATAGGACTCCACTCCAGCCCTCCGGACAGTCACAGCCAGTCTGGTCTTCATTGCATGTTCCACCATTTCTGCAATCATCACATGTCAGGCTGCAGTCATGACCAAAGGTGTCCTCCAAGCAGACTGGAAGATAAAGAAGCTGCGGATGAGTGGGCTTTCCAAAAGCTCCTTCATTGAGCTGAAGGGTTCAGCTGGGCAGCCAAACCCACACCACTTAGGAACACTGAATCTCCAGCAAATGCGCCAGTAACATGTAGAGCAGTGGTAGTGGAGTGGAGTGTCTAGGACATGTGGGGAATGCATAAGGGAGTCTGGAAATGGTCTGCCCTTTGTGACGGTTCATGTCACAAGCAGCAAGACCCTGGAATGGTTGGGGTGACGTCTTGGCTCTGTTGAAATCAATGACAAGACTTCCGTTGACTTAAATGGAGCCAGGATTTCACACTTGGTGTTCAATGAGAGGTAAAATATGAATCCAAACTCACAAGTGAAGAAGGGGCGTGTGAGGGTATTTTCTTCTGTTTGGCAGCAAACTAGTACTCCAAGACAAGATATTGGTTTTAAATAGGTTAAGACCTTAAGAGACAAATTGAGAGCCTTAGTTTACAACTGTGAATGCTCAAGTTTGTGTAATACAACTGATGGTGTCTGTAAAACGGAGGGGCACCACTTTTCCATCTGCAAGTCTCTACTAGCACGCGGAAACTGTAGCTGGGTGCTCAGCTACCCAACCTGCATGTGCTCAATGGATGACAGCTCACCCAGTGCAGTAATGCAGGCTTTGTACATGACAAACTCTGTGGATGCATTGAGTTGCATGTGCAAATTTGGACATGTAAGTTCGCTCCAAGTGTGTTGCTACTACTAAAAACACCAGAGAATTTTCCACAGGCCCTTGCTACAAAATGCCCACCAAATTTTTCCGAAAGTGTGTGCTCTCCTCTTGCTTCCACCTCTTCCTCCTCCTCCTCATACTCCTCATCAAAGAGCTGGGTGAACTCATCACGCAGGATGGCAACGTGAGGAATAGGGCGTATGATGGGGCGTTGTCCGTCAAGGGCCTCCATGGGGTCATCCAGAGCTAGGAAAATCCATGGGGGAAAAGCAAACATTTCTATCCAAATCACCAATCCAAAGAGGAGAGATTTAAAGAGGAGTGAAATGAGAGAGGAACAAGAGATTAGTAAAGAGCACAAAAATATGAAATAAAAAGAAGAAAAAGAGAACAAGATCTGACAGTCATTGGTTCTGTACTGATTTAGTGTTTTATAGAGTCTACTCCAGTGACCCACACAACTGTCCCTGGCCACTTTGGGGACTGTGATTCATTCCCTGTCTCTTTCCTTCCCCCCACATTCTTTTATTTCTTTCAGTCTAGAATTTTATACCACTCCCATCATGTGAGTATCTGAGTGCCTCCAAAAAAATCGATGTGAAAGGCTTATGTTTTATATTTACAGAGAGATCAGATTTTCCAGGAGACTGTTCTGTCACACCAGCTAGGTCCTCAAGGCCGCCATCTCAAGCTGCCGCAAAGGGACTCTTATCTTGTTTGTTATTTTAGTTTTTATAACCTAAATACGACAGAGCTATCTTGACATTTCCAGTACAAATATTTCTTTCAGAAGCTGAAGTGAAAATTGGTTAAAATTTAAAAAGAGAGCACATGCTAGGGTTTGTTCACCCGTTTCCCGACCTTTCCTGGCTTCTCCACAGCTCTTCAGCTGCTCCCACGAACTGCATCACCATAATTCATCAGAAAACCCCCTGCAGCCTATAACAATCTTAATGGAAGACGTATGCCTAATTCCCCTAGGCTGTTTGGAAGATCTCAACCCTGCCAGGAGGAAAGTCCCTATGAAAGCAGTGGAATAGTTCTGTCTGTGTTGTTGTAGGCTGTAGAGGTATTCCATTTCAGTTATGATAATACAGTTCATAGTAGCAGTTCGTGTCAATAATGGAGCTGTGAAGAAGCCAGCAAAGGTTCAGAAAGGGTTTAATAAATCGTAGCTCTGTCACTCGGCATACTTTCAAAGCAGCCTGGAGGATTTAGACTCAAGCCTTCCATTCCTTAAAAAAAAGGTGGGGGAGAGATAGCTCAGTGGTTTGAGCATTGGCCTGCTAAACCCGGGCTTATGAGCTCAATCCTTGAGGGGGCCATCTGGGCAAAAATCAGTTCCTTCCAGCTCCATGAGATAGGTATATCTCCATATATTATTATTTTTTTATTTTATGTACATCAACCCCCCCCCCGATTGCTTTGGAAATCTCAGATCTGGCCTCTCTGCAGTGAAAATGATTGGATTATACACAAAGTTGCACAAGGAAACGACACCAAGTGAAAACCGTGTAAGGGAAGGAAAAGGGTATATATATATATATATATATATGAAACCCTTGTTTTCACTTGGTATTGTTTCCTGTTGAAGATTTAATATATAAATATCTTCAACAGGAAATCACACACACACACACACACACACACACACACGATGTTTCTTACGAATACAGCTCCTCCGGTCTTCATCTAGTTTGTATCCAATCTGGCAGCTGCACTGGAAGGACCCCACCAGATTCTGGCACGTGTGCTCACACTCACCGTTATTTGAGGAGCACTCATCCACATCTAAAAAATATACATGGGACTATATCTACATATGCAGATAAGGGAAGTGTCCAGTATAGGTCAGAGATGCCAAGGCATACATAGAATTCAGAGACTGACAGCAAGCATTACTGTTTCTGCCCAACTTTCTAAAATTCAATTAAATCAATTTTGTGCTGAGGGATGTTACAGGGCTGATAGAGTCTTCAGGCGCCAGAACTGGGAGGAGGGATAGCTCAGTGGTTTTAACATTAGCCTACTAAACCCAGGGTTGTGAGTTCAATCCTTGAGGGGGCCACTAGGGCAAAATCAGTACTTGGTCCTGCTAGTGAAGGCAGGGGGCTGGACTCAATGACCTTTCAGGGTCCCTTCCAGCTCTAGGAGATAGATATTATCTCCATATTTTCTTTTCTTATTTTCTGTTTTCACCACATCACAGAATGGATTAGAATCACTTCTCCTTCCCATTTGAGGTATTTATTTATCCTACCAATATCTATGGATAAAGAGACCATCTCATTTTCTGTCCTGTTCAGCCATGCAAACCTACCAACATTTCTTTTACATTGAACAAAGATCACACAAGCAAGTGAACCACAGATATTTGAAAATAAGTTTCCCCAGTTTTAAGAATCAGCCTACATATGCTGGGCCAGTTGGATTAATTTAATCTTCCAGCTAATAACATCAAATGGGGCTGGATATCTATGCTAGTGACAAAACAAATCATCATCAGGGAATGGAAACCCCAAATCCCTCCCATTTACTGTATTCTGACTGGCTAAATGAGCTACTCAGAAGAGAACTGATGGAAAAACTGACATTCCCTGGGAGAAATAATTGGAAGAAATGGCCAGCTGTTTGGGGCCATATGGAAGAATTTCATGTCATCTCACTTCAGAGCTTGTATTAGTCATTATCTTCCTAGCTATATATTTGTAGATACATTGGCATTTGCCTGGGCCACTCCAAGGCCAAAATTACTGGGAATACCGGTCTGTTACATGCCATACAAAATGACATTCCTATGAAGCATTAGAAGAGATGAAACCAAACCAACTCTCTTCAACTTTGGGAAATTCTGGGTTGGATCCAAACTGTGCTCTTTAGCTGCTACTATATTGCAGCTAATCTCTGTCTTGCTGGCGTGTTTCTTTGCTCCTTTTTCCCTACTAAAAACCTACGAGAAATCAACAAAAATAAGCCTTTAAATCTGACTTAACATTTATCATAAGTTCAATGTAATTGTAAAACCAGGCATAACAGGACTAGTGGAAGGACCAAGACAGCCCCGCCTGTAGCTGTCATGACACAATACTGTAACGCAGAGGAGCTGAGCCAGTGTCTTTCCTCTTTCACCCACCCCAGTCCAGCTCGGCATTGCTGCTTACCATCACACCCACAACCGTCGGTGTTGAGCCTGTATCCAGCATAGCAAACACATTCGTAGCCGCCAGGATAATTGTAACAGTCCTGCTGACAGCAATGAGAACGAGCGTCACAGTCATCGATATCTAAAGATGGAAAACAAAGCGCATCAGCTAGCACAAATCTGAGAGTTTCTGCTTTGCCGAAAGCTGACACGTGCATCCGTCCAGGCCTTTCCATGTCTAATTTGTCTGATGAGCGTCCTTCTCTGGCCTGTGATTTTGTTTAAAGGTAAAGTGCAGAGGTTACAGAAAAAGGTCTGCACCCCAAAAACAGTAATAGAAACAATATGCCATTTTAGAAATCAGCAATAAACATGTTTTAAAACATAGTATCTGCACATCATTTCCCCTTCCTTTTGCAACAGCTGACAACTTCATACCAACCTAAAATAAAGCAGGCACTGCTGTCTTAGGTGCAACAGCGTGAGCTGCTGTGGGCCACATAGGGAAACCTGAACCCTGGATCCAGCAGATAAGAATGAGAAAGATAGAGTCAACATTTCTTCTAGAGATGTAACTATCCATCTGGATTATTTGTTGGAAATCTCCATGAACTTCATGTTACTCATATAGGTCCCTAAACAGTGTAGGATTTTTTTTTAAAAAAAGCATCATTGGTGTTTACCTTCCAAGACAGGATGTGAATCAGACTGTACTTGGAAAGTGACTCAATATCCATCATTGTAAGTAAACTGGGGAAGGAGTGGGGTCTAGTGGTCAAGTACAAGGGACAGGGAGTGAAAATTGCTCAGTTCTATTCCCAGCTGTCACTCACTGTGACCTTCAGCAAGTTTGTTAGAGCATGATTTTCAGAAGCGATGAGCACTTGCAGCTCTGTCTAAAGTAAAATGTCAGGTCCTTAATCTCTACGGAACTCAGTTTACCAATCTGTGAAGTGGGCTGAATACCGACATATTTCCCAGGGGGTTCCCTGGTAAAGGGCTTTGCTATCTCCAGATGAAAGCTGGGAGTGCAGATGATTATTATTTTGTTATGAAAACTTGCCAGGGAAGAACCAACTCTATTCAGGCCTATATCAAACAACTTGGGTGAGGCATTTATGAGCCTGCTGTGCAAAGTCAAGTTTAACTGCCACTTTACCTCTCTTTTATCTTGCACTGTAGTGAGAGAGGTGCTACTATTGTCTCCAGAAACCTCTAAAGAAAGGGTTACTTCTCCAGCTGCTCTTATGAGAGCTTCCTCTTGCTCAGCTATGCGAGAGGCAGAGCTGGTTCTCCTTTCAACTAAATCAGTGATGGCTTGTCCGTTGTGCCTTATTTCAGAAAAAGAGTGAATCTGTTCATTGCAGATGGTGTTGTGAAAGGGAAAGTGATCCCTGAGCCCAAATGAAAAGAAGAAGCACCAGAACCAGATTTGAACCAGATTTGTCTCCTGAGTCATATGATAACTGGGACTTTCCAGTTCCACACAAATAAGTTTTATATGGAATCAGTCATAAGTTATTTCCCTATCATCTGTCATCACCCTGTAGTCTTCCATTTTTGCAGATTGTAGATAACCTTCTTCCATTATCCCATACATTCTTGCATCATTCAGGACACACAGTACCATAAGTATGATTGATTTGACAGAATACATATAGGGTTTCTTACCCTCTCTCTGAAATCACCTGAAGGATCTAGGCATTGACCCAGCCAAGTTCATACTCATCATACCCAGCTGAGATACATCCAAGGTTATCTAAGTTTAAACACTGGACCAGCCCCACAGGAAATACGTGTTTAAATTTATTGACACAGGAAATGCCTGGCTACTGAGCGTTACAATACGTTTCTACTAGGTTAATTGTCAAGTGGCACACGGAACTACATAGTCTGAAGTGAAATGCACACATCAAGATTATGGCATTTATGTACAGAGAGCTCCAGCTGCATTTCCTTCTTACCCAGTGTGTGAATACATCCATCGTACCCAGATGGAGCTGAGTGATAGATTGGTGGCTGGTGGCCGGTCCGTCTCACCCAGTGATACAGTCAGTTGTTTCAGTAGTGTTGCCACTGAAGCAGAGGCTACATTTCCTAGTCCATCCCCTCCAGGGCCAGGTTTAGGGGTACCCAAAATAAATCACAAGGGGACGCCAAGGAGGAAAGTGCATCCCCAGCCACAGGCTAACTTCTTCGTTGCTCCCAAAAAAGGAACGAATCTTCTGTGTCCTTCAGCAGGAAACGCTTTCCAAGGCGTACTAGTTTAGACTAAGCAGGGACTCAGCCACCCATAGGTGCTGCTCTCAGCCACATAGCCCAGTGGGTCTAAAGCATTTTCATCTGGCGGAGCACTCCTTAAAAATCAAGATCCTTTTGTGAGCACTTCCCCTCCCGCAATCCTGATCCTTCACCTTTCCTGCAACAACAGCTATAGTGCTAGGCTAGAGAGAATGGCAGCATTCAGAAAATGTAAAGGGATTGATATGAAAATAGATTCCCATTAATGTGATGGGTGCAGTTGCTTGAGTACAGCCCTACATTGTATTGGTGCTGTTTATGTCCCCTCCCTTGGTGGAGAACAGATTAATATTAGATCTCCCTCTGCCGCCTGCAGCCCTCGCTGCTCAGATCTCCTCAGGTTACTTTGCTCCTTAGTTCTGCCCTCCATGGTGTCTGCTGTTTCCTCTCATCCACAAATTGGATTGCAACTGAATTTACAGAGATGCCCAGCAAAGACAGATACACAGGAACTATGCACAGGACAAAGTGCTTGGATTTGTTTGGCCGGAAAAGCCTCAGGAGATAACAATAGCAACACATTACAGCTACGGTTTGAAGTTGGAGGTGCTTCCCCGTTGGAACAGAAGCAGCTCCGTGGACCACAATGTGAGATCCGTGCATCAGCAAGAGTCTCAACTGCTGAGAAAACCGCTACCGTCCACTTCCACTAGAGGCACTGCACTCTGTATAGTACGTAAGGAGGACTGGCCATTCAGATTTGAACTGGTTGAAGAGTCTACATTTTATAATCCCTCCTTGCAAATAAATAATAAAAAGAATTAAAAAACCCTACTAGATTATCAAGTCCATTGTCCTGCAAGAGCAGGGCACAGACCTCAGATTCAGGCAGTATCCGAGATGAACAGGAATGGGTGGTTACACTGGGGAAGAGAAAGCATTCCGTATTTTACTAGAGTGCTCTTCACTGACCTAAGGTTTTTTTTTAACTATCGATATTTCAGTGCTTTAATATAAATGCATATGGTGTCCTGAGGAAGGCACCATCCCTCTTTGCATAGATTGGAATCTTATTCATAGCTCAGCCAGCACAGATGCTCCCCAATTCAGAGTTGTCTAAAACACAGCAGGACCATATGGACACGCCAGCCCCTGTGGCGCACAATGAAGTCCCCTGAGTTCTAATGGAACAATGTATCACTCGGCACACAACGGAGCCGTCTCCGCAGGACAGACTGCTTCCCTTACCAATGCAGGTTTTCTGGTCCTCATCAAGCTGGTAGCCAAAATTACAGGAGCAGACAGGGCCAGAGCTGGTGTGATGGCATACATGGGAACAGCCACCATTGGCCTCACAGCTATTCACAATCTCCATCTCTATCCCTGGAAAGCAAACAAACATACCGTATGGCTATTTATCGAACATCTTGTAACATTTACAGGATTTTTCCAGGGGATCATGGCCGAGCCATCTCTGCCGTACCTGGATTTACAGAGCCACGTTCTGGCAGTCACCCAGCATTTGGGATAACAGACTCCCAGAACAAGCAGGCTTTATTGCATGCACATATTACAGCTGTCTATGCACTGCCCTCAGGAATAAGAAGAGTAGGAACAGTGTGCAGGAGAGAGGGGTTGTGGGTAGCTGTAGTACGTAGAGGCCACTGCTAGGGGAGGAAATGATGCACAAACAGATCACATGCCGTTCACAGCTCCTGATCCCAGGCTATGCCCCATAATATCCCTGCAAAAATCCTGTCCTGGACAAATTGTGGGGCAGCCTCCCTACAACCTTTCAAACGGCCTTGAAAAGGGGCAGACAAAGCCCACTGCTTACTTCTGCTGCTGACTTCGGACATGCTCCAGAGCATGCTGCCAGACAGAATCTGGCGCATCACCTTGCTGGAGGTTCTGCAGTGCACAGAGATTTAATGACAGCTAGAAACTGGAGCAGCAGCGGCGGCACAGAGCTAATTACAGAAATATTCAGATTCTGAGAGCCGGGAGAGTTGGAGCCACTCCTTGTAATGCTGGAAGAAACATGAGTAGCAAACAGATACATGAGTTTTTGCCAAATTATATAAAAAAGGTTTTTAATTGAGCTGATTTATGGCCAATATGAAATTTATTAATTAAATATTTTAAAATCAGGCTAGCTAATTAAAAGCTTTGCAAACACAAAGGAACGTGTCCCCAGAGAGGATTTTGGCTCAGTTCCATATATCGCTTCAAAAGAACAATTTTGATACTTTCATCACAAAATGATGTGATGTTTTTCTTCAGCACTTGTCAAATCCTGGGATGGGAGCATGAAAGCCATGAATGCTGCCCCTGCATCTCTCCTGACATCGGGCAGGGAGCCATGCCCGCGGGTAGAGGGAGAGTGTGTCTTTTACTCAGATCTCAGAACGAAACGAAGATCATTTTATTCTTTTCCCTTTGCTGCCATTGTCAGAGCAGTGAGGGGGTTATGAAAGGCACCCCTGCTTAGAGATAAAAAATGTTAACCATGCACCCACTAAGGACACTTGAAGGAAATTAACACCACAAACAGCACTAAATTGGGCCCATTGCTGGCAGCCTTAGTAGAGAAGCCAAAGCCTCAAAGAGCTGCAGAGACTGAATGAATCTCTCACTTCTAGCAGTGGTCATTTCAGAATGGGGCTGAAGCATGCCAGCAGGAGGCAATGTGTGTGGGTGAAGCTTGCACTGCCACTTCCAACAGATGTACTGCTTCAGTCTCCAGAGCGGGCAGTCTGGCATCTTGTACCAGTAATATTTACAAACTAGTACCAATGTGAATAAGAAAGCAGCTAGGTGTTGAGAGTGGTCCAGATCTTTCCAGTCACCTGTGTGCCAATTAGCAGCAGAAGCCATGGGAAGACTAGATTCTTTGCTGGGGACACTCACAATGCTAAGAGAAATTAACTGGGCAGATCCACTACTCCCAGACTCGCATTTACCTTTCTCATCTGATACTCCATAAACCTACCTGCTTTAATTTCTTATCCCCATCCAAGAAAGGGAAGGAACATTGCTAATGTAATACAAAACTACTGTGCTAAGGGAAATATCTTTATATGATCTGCCTGTGAGCTGCAAGGAACTATACTAGTGGGGGAAAACCAGTGTTATTTTAATAGATAAATGGGGTACAGCATCAGTCCAGATCTGCACGTCACTCTCAGACCCCATCAGTCAGATTCCTTGTAAAGACATTTTAATGTCAATATCTAGATCACAGATAAGTGCAGTAGCAGCAGAAATGACCAGGTGAAGGATGGATCTCATATTGTGTTGCTTCTTATAAGAACCGATAAGCCTGAGGGAACACTACTACCCCCCAGTCCAGTGTATTGCATAGCTGACTAGCAGGATATGGCAGAGAACAGCTAGGGTAAATAAGAACACTGGTAGTGACAAAACCCAACATTAATGCATTTGCTAGGGGATTAATAACAAGGACATCCATGGTGGTTCTTTATCACGTCAGTAATGGACAGTAGAGCTTTACGTGCCAGTGACTTCTCTTTGGACAATTAGCTATCACTGCTGGTCTTCATTAGCCTGATAAAGAATTTATGTGCTTCATCATTTCATAACCCTGAATGTCTCTTTTCTCCCTGGGAGGGAATTGATGGGGACACATTAGATCAAGTTTTGCCTCAGTTACAATTCTGCAATTTCACCAACTTCGAGTTGGGGAGGACAGAGAGCAGCGGAGTTTGGTCCATTGTTTTTAAACAGCTATTAATACACTATCAAAACCATTGCAGGCAGTTTCATGACACCTTTAAAGACCCGGCACAGCTCTTGTCCTGGTGGGAGAATAAGCAGTCCCATAAACTTCCCTTGAAAGATGCCACTGAAAACGCCTAGGACTCTCGTTGTATCAGCGCACACAGAACAACAACGGACAAAGGTTTGTCAAGGATTACCTCACTGTTTACTTTCCTTTTTTTCCCCCCTGTCAAAAATAAGCTCTCTCCCCTCATTGTCTGTGGGTTAGCGAGCCTAGGCAAGGCGGTCAATACTTACTGTAGCACTGCTTGCCATCTTCCCCCAGCTCATACCCAGGATTGCAAGTGCATTTAAAGGAGCCGCGGGTGTTGAGACAGCTGTGTGCACACACGGCCAGCCCAGTCGCACATTCATCTACGTCTGCAAGAGAAAGACGGGCAATTACCAAAACCAAGCAGAGCAGCTCTGGCAGCGGAATGCCCTCCAGAAGGAGCACAGCTCCCTGCCTTTCAGTGTCTTCAAGAGAGGGACGGTTTGTGGGGCTCCTTTCTGAACTGCACACAGCAGACTGGTCTCTTGTCCCTCCTGAGAGATAAAAGCTGGAAACAGTTGCATGATGGAGTTAACTGGAACTTCAGTAGAGTGGAGAGGTGTGTGTGTGTGTGGGGGGAGATATGGCAAACATCCATTGTTGAATCGGTTGCCACATGTCTTGTGCACAGCTAGGAAAGGCGTATGATTGTCTTTGTACTGCACTACTGCATTTCTGGAAGCAGAGATCACTGGTTCAAAAGCCTACGTTGCGGGGAATAGTGGGTTGTACCCTCTTCTTTGCCAAAACCTCTGCCACAGACTCAAACCAGAGACCAAGCATTTCATTTTTGGTGTTTCTGACTTTTTGGGGGGGGGGGGATGATTTCTTACATTCCACTGCACCTCCCCACGCACTGGGGTCAGGGCCATAAGCAGAGACACCAGCAAACAGAAGGGCTGGAACCAAGAACTATTCATCTGTTCACAGGAGGCTTCCAGCCCCGTTGCTAGATCAGTGAAGTAAGGCTGCTGGCCAGATTTCAACTAATCAACTAATCTTGGATGCTTTCCTGAGCTGAACCTCTGGAAAAGTGTAAGGCTCATTTGTCACTGTGTTAGACACTGACATTAACAATACCTCACAGAGCAAGACAAGGGTTGTCTCTCTCTCTGTGCAAGCTGCATTGTGGGTACTGTACCTTCGCAGGCCTTGCTGTCAGCTGCCAGTCTGTAGCCAGGGTGGCACTCACAGTGCACTGTTCCACGGAGATTTTGGCACTGGTGCATGCAGCCTCCATTCCTATTGGCACACGGATTCCTCACTACAGAGACAGAGCAGGGGCAAGTAAACATCATTTCAAACAGATCCTCTCTCTTGCTGGCATTAGCCTCGTGGAAGAATAAAGCGCCGTGTTCCTGGATATCCAGGACAGACTGTAGTTCATTTAAAACAATCCATCAATACAAGAGAGAAGCTCCTCATTTGTTGTAAGGACTGCCCTGGACTTGGCCCAAAACTCAGAGGACTCACCGGAGATGCATTTACCAAGCAGTCCCTGGCAGCGCATGCCTATCCCACAGGCTGTGTGTGCAAACTGTCGGATCTGTCAAACTGTCACAGCATCAGCTGCCCCACAAGATCCCAAAGTACTTTACAAAGTTTGTAAACTCTACCTACATCAAAGTCACTTCCCCGATAAAGCCCAGCAGGGGAGGCAGGACAGCCTTAAATCTGTCGTAGGGCAGGAGGAAAGTGCAGGGGTTTCTGTTCCACTGACATATTGCTGCTCCTTCACTTCCTCAGGAGAGCATGTCCCAATACAATTTCATTTGGGTTGGCCAGGCTCCTTTCTGCTCTTTCTCAGCTTCCAAAATAATTCCCAGAAGATGTCCAAGGCAATATAATAAGCAGAATTGGCACCAGCTTCTACTACAGTGCAACATCCCAATCTGATCTGCTCCACATCTGAGCATGCAGTTGTGGCATCCCCCTGGTTTGTGTCCAGTTAGCTAGTCTCTAAATCATTATTAACCGTTTCACACCTGGTTCCTCTCTAGGAATGTGAGTGGGAACATGGGAATAACAACGTGGAATTCCTACAGCACTGGACTTCCTTTTAAATAAATCTAGCTTGTGATTACAACCTGGGAAAGCAAAGACAAATGAGAAGGAGTGCCTCTGAATTCACAATTCATTCCACGTGCTCAGAGCAGACTCACGGACACAGTGCTTGCCATCCTCCTTCAGGTGGTAATTGTGCCGGCACCGGCACTGATGCTGTGTTAGGGTCAGCTGCACGCAATCGTGTTCGCATCCACCATTGCTGACGGCACAGGTGTTCACAGCTAGGAGAGCAAAGGGTGAAAATGATTAGAGCAGGCTGACAAACAGTATGCAAGCGTCTGGTTTGCAAGAGCCAGGGCAGATTACAGGCACCAATATGCAGATTTACGACTACAGCAGGAACCAGACTGGCTAATAAGAATTCCAAACTCTGGAGCATATTCAGTCCTGGCATAAGTGGGGGCAGTTCCTGGTGAATCTTTAAACTGTGCTATATAAACACTGATTGTGGTTGTCATAAGCATCTATTCTGTATTCAATACACAAGATACATGCTACAATATTGTGCTATGAAGATATCCTGGGCAGTACACCCAGACCCAGGGCACTGTTCTTCAATGATAAGAGCAACTCTATTCAGCAGCGTGAGTCAGCAGCTTTAAAACACTGTTTACTAGAAATAAAGATTTCCCAGTACAGCTCCCAGCTGCTCCTCAGGGAAAGGTACACAGGCCAGAACTTTTCTGGCTTGGATTACATAATCTAAAACTAAATTCAGAAAGCTACATGGGAGGGGAGTTAACAACAAGCATGTTTGCTTTATAAACGCTAATCCCTCCCTAGCAGGTGGCAGTGTCAGAGGACAGGGACTGGGGACTGCTTATTTATAACTGAAACTCTTGCAATTGTGCTCAATGACACTGACTACAGGTTCAGTAGCCCAGCTAGTTCAAGTCAATAATTTCTGTTTACAGTGAATGGCCATCGATGGCATATTCAAATGCTTCCTCATGACAAAATGATACAGAAAATTAACTGTAATTGCCAGGATCACTTCTGGAGCCTTTTCTAAAAATTGGCATTATGTTAGTTATCTTCCAGTCCTCTGGTACAGAGGCTAATTTAAGTGATAGGTTACATAGCAGTTCTGCAATTTCATATCTGAGTTCCTTCAGAACTCATGGGTGAATACAATCTGGCCTGGTGACTTATTACTGTTTAATTTATTGATTTGTTCCAAATCCTCCTCTACTGACACCTCAATCAGGGACAGTTCCTCAGATTTGTCACCTAAAAAGACTGACTCAGGTGTGGGAATCTTCCTCACATCCTTTGCAGTGAAGATTAATGCAAAGAATTCATTTAGTTTCTGCACAATGGCCTGGACTTCCTTAGTGCTCCTTCAGTACCTCAATCATCCAGTGGCCCCATCCACTGTTTGGAAGGCTTCCTGCTCCTGATGTACTTAAAAAAAAATTGTGGTTAGTTTTTGTCTTTTGCTAGTTGTTCTTCAAATTCTTTTTTGGCCTGCCGAATTATACTTTTGCACTTGACTGGTCAGAGTTTCTATTTTACTCAGTAGGATTTTACATGCAATTTTTAAAGGACGTTTTTTTTTGTCTCAGTCTCTTTTACTCTATTGTTTAGCCACAGTGGCAATTTTTTGGTTCTCTTATTGTTTATTTTTATTTGGGGGTATACATTTACTTTAGCCTCGATTATGGTGTTTTTAAAAAGTTTTCATGCAGCTTGCAGGCATTTCACTCTTGTAACTGTTCTTTTTAATTTCTCTTTAACTAGCTTCCACATTTTTATGTAGTTCCCCTTTTTGAAGCTAAATGCTACTATAGTGGGTTTCTTTGGCACTTCCTCCCCCCCAAGGACTTTAAATTTAATTCCATTATGATCACTATTATTGAGTTCAGCTATATTTACCTTTTGAACCAGACCCTGTGCTCCACTTAGGACAAAATCAAGAATTGCTTCTACCCTCTTGGGTTCCAGTACTAGCTGCCACAAGAAGCGGTCATTAATAGTGTCTAGAAATTTTATCTCTGCATCTCAGCTTGAGGTGATGTACCCAGTCAATATGGGGAGAGTTGAAATCCCCCATTATTATTGGGTTTTCTGTTGTTGCCTCTCAAATCTCCCTGAGTATTTCACAATCACAGTCAACATCCTGGTCAGGTAGTTGGCAGTATATTCCTACTGCTATACTCTTATTATTCAAGCATGGAATTTCTATCCATAGAGATTTAATATTTTTACTATATTTGACGCTAGGCTTTCTTTCACATATAGTGGCACTCCCCTACCACTCAATCCTTAGCCTCTCCACTGAGATGAACAAGGATACTAACAAATGTTTGACCGGATATGTGAACATTTTATCTGTAATAACTGAATCTGTAATAACTGCTCATTTCATACAGGCCACCAAAAAACTATCCAACCGCACTGACTTTTGGTCACTACACACCCAGGAGAGATTAAAAGAGTGTGTGTGTGTGGGCATTACATCACACTTAGTAGTGTGTGTGTGTGTGTGTGTGTGTGTGTGTGTGGCTGGTCCTAAAAATACAACCTATAATGGAAACACAGAAAGAGCTCCCACCAATCAGTTTGCAGAAGAAATTGCTGTACCAATAGGGAAGAATCTTATGAGGGGACAACCACAGTCCCTAACTAAAAACACGTCTTCACAAACCAGCACTGCTCAGATAATCACAACTTGAGCAACCTCCGAAGTATCGCTAATCAGTCAACCCTGGAAAGCTAAAGCCAATAAAACTCTGCCTGTTTTTCATGGGATCTCTATGTTCCTATAAAGTTCTCTTCTGTAAAAACATATGCTTCTCTGGCAGGCACTGCAAAGTTCCAGCTCACTCATTTTTAAATATTATTATTTTACAATATAATTGCAATAGGACAACATGCAGCAACAATAACACTTAGAATCCCCAGCTCTATTTATCCCGGGATCTCAAAGGGCTTTATAAACATGAATTACCGAAGCCTCTCTATCCCCTTGGTGGTGCACAGAAAAACAAACACGACTAACCCATGAATGGAGTAGGACTCAAATTCTGGCCAGGACTCCAAGTGAACTGAACCTTTGGGAGGTTCAGAAAGTTTGTCTTGCCCTTATTAGGCTGGGGATACTGAATACCTCATTTACTTTGCCTTTGGGTGCTCTACACCAGTGGTTCTCAACCAGGGCCCCGGGGCCCCTGGGGGGCCACAAGCAGGTATCTGGGGGTCCACCAAGCAGGGCCAGCATTAGACTCGCTGCGGCCCAGGGCAGAAAGCCAAAGCCCCTCGCATGGGGTTGAAACCCAGGGCTCTGAACCCCACCACTCGGGACTGAAGCTGAACCCTAAGAAATGCAGCTTCACGGGGGGGCCCTGTAGCAAGTGGCCTCAGGCAACTGCCCTGCTTACTACCCCTAATGCCAGCCCTGGCTTTTATATGCAGAAAAACAGTTGTTGTGACACAGGTGGGCCGTGGACTTTTTATAGCCTGTTGGGGGGGGGGGGGGACTGCTTAGAAAGAAAAAGGTTGAGAACCCCTGCTCTATACCTCCTTAGAAGGTATGCCAAGTGCCCCTCTTAGCCTGAGCTGGGGTGTTGCAGGACGCCTCCCTCATCGGACTGGGGTAGGAGTGTAATAATGCCTCCCTTGGCCTCGGCAGTGGGGGAATTCAGCGCATATTGCAGTTGTAAATTGATTTTTCATTTGTTATTTATAGTTCACTTTGAAACACAAAGACCTTCTCCTATAGAAAGGGTTATGAACAGCTGGAAAGAAGGTTAGAGGACTATGGCCACAAAAAAAAGGCTAAGAAGTTATATCAAATGACAGCTCTTGGCGTTTATAACTTGTAAGTCAAATACAGTACAGCTCTTTAGCTCAGCTATGAAAAATGACCTCTATGGTTGGATGTTTACAGTAAGGAAACAGACCTCTCAGGCTTGTTCAATGCCTTTCATTTTCCCTCCTAATTAAATCTATTTAACCTGCACCTTTTTAACAAACAGTTTCTACTGTAGCAAAGTAGACTGATGAAATACTGAAAGCTATTTGATTAAACCAGTATATTTTTACCAGAATGTAAGCGAAACCCCAATATTATTCACTGTGCAGACATTTGATCCAGGATACACATGGAAAAACCACAAAAATGTTCTGATTTTTCTACAAACAATTCTCCAAACCGAATCTGTTCAAACCAGAGCTCAGGACCTCTCTGATACAGAACACTTTGAACTTCCATTTGCATCAAGGCAAACATGAGTCTCTGATTAACTAAACAACATTTTTGGGAATAAAACTAACTTAATTGGGTCAAAAATGTTGCAGAATGCGGCACGACACTGGAGCAAGAACTATAAGCCTGGGTTAATTTTCCTGATTTTTTTTTTATTTGTTCTACTTTGACAGAGACAATAAAAGTAGTTGGCATTACTGAAAAATTATAGTTATATTACTTGAGTTATAACAGAGCTGGGTGGTAGCCATTTTAAATGTTCTGGTATATTAAAATGTTTAATAAAATCATATTCAAAATCTCTATAAATAATGCAGTTATAGTTCTGGGGTTTTTTTTAAATCATTAAAATAATGCTAAACTCAGCCAGTACATTTCTCCATATGGGAGAAACACAAGGCCAAAGTTTAAAATCCAACACATCTTAAGTCCAAAATAAGCTCACAGTATGAAACTATTCATTAGAGTCTGGGGTCTAAGTTGCCTTCATGACCCATCAATGCTATACACCAGATTTTTAAAGATTTAAAACCTATAGTCAAAGTTCTCGTTGGCTTTCAAATCAAAAAAGACATCATGCTGTACTGCCAGCCCAGGAGAGGGAAGTCCTCAAAGACAGCCACACAGCAGCAACAGCATGGGCAGGCTTCCCAAAGCAGATTTGAAAGGATCACTTCTACAACTAACAAAACCAGGTTTAATCTCCCACGTCCATTTAGTCCCTCGCCTTTCCACGGAGACATACCAACCAGAGGCCACGTGCTAGCAATTGTGATCGTGGATTTTTGTGATGGGGACAATCCTCCGTAATGAGGCAGAGTGAAACTTCTAGCATATCACATGTACACCATCCAAGCACTGTCAGATGGCAATGACTATCCATCACGATAAAGCTGGGTTGGACACAAGCAACTAGTGAAAAGATATACATCCCATTACCAAGGGACTGACCAGCAAGTCCTCCTTGACAAAGGTCTTTTAGAAGAAAGCCCTTGTAGGGTGACCAGATTCCCG